AGGTCTGCGGCCACGGATCGTCGCGCGTGGAGAAGCACCATACGGGACATAAGTTAGGCCTGCTAGATCAGTCATGATCGCAGCCACAACAAGTACAAGTATAGCATAATTGTCTTTCCCCTTTGTTATACCCGGTTACCAAAATTATCAAGAAAAAAAGATAAACACGTCATGATTACAAAGAAAAACTTGTTTTTGAAAAAGAGAATAGGCTCGGGCTTAGAGCAAATCAGTTGGAAAAAGAGCTCCTGTGGTGGAATATTTGTTTGCTCATTTGATGCTTTGGCATGAATGTCAGGTAATGGATGACAGAGAGGAGAGCACAAACCGGCTTGAAAGACGAAGGACTGGAAACGTCACGAAAGGCACTGCACGCTTTCCCATCCTAAAATTAAAGAGCGCATAGCGTAAAAACAACTACTTTTTAGACACAAAATGATTAATATGAAGACGTCGGCTTTTGTGTTATTCGGGAATCTCAACATTCAGAGTAATATCATTCACAAACCGGGTTCAAAACGTTGAAAGTTGTAAGATAAGCTTATGAGCACATATTCGTTGCGTCACCTGAACCTGCAGAGTAATTCAGCGTAACCTCTAAGAACATTCAGTGAGGAATATTGATTGGCCAGTTTTAGGCCAATCAGGTAGCCCAAATAGAATTCACCTCTGTCAAGCACGTGGCTTGGTGTCAACGAACTCAGAGAAGGGTGGTAGAATTACCACGCAGCTGCCAAGTGTGAGGAGCGCCTAACAGGTGACCTCCTTTGGCTCATTGTTGAATATAATGAAGAAATGTAAGCCCCTAAGAGAACCAAATAAATGAAAGTAGCTACGTATACCTCCTTTCTGAGTCCAGCGGCCTCATTCATTCGAAAAAAGTCAATTTTTCAGGTACGTCGGGAGCCCCATAACCTCCAGAATTGGTTATTTCCTTTGAAAAGCAGTGATCCCGACAGCTTTCGGCAGGGAAGTTTGCTGGCGCTTCGTCGTGCTAAATCACACCACGTGAGCGGCGCCGTACAAGTCACATTTGAAAATGTTCTCACTAAGGGGAGGTGGGAAGCTGGGGGAGAACTGATAACGCTATTTCACTTTCAATGTAAAAGTGCAACTGTTGGAAATGTAATTCACTTCTGCTTCTTCTTCATCATCTTTATATCCCATAAAGCGTCCCGCCAACTGCTTGTTCCATTTTGGAGCAGCTGCCGACATGTATTAAAATTTACCTACTATTAACTGTTCAGTAGTCAGTATATCTTGGTCTCTGGACAGTAAGAGTTGCATTCGGTGATCTGGCCGGTTTCTAGTAGCAAATTAGGCCTGACTTCGCGAATAGGCTCTAACCTGACAAACAAACGAATGGCATAGTCAAAGTAAGAAGGAGTTGATTAGCATAGCAACTAGCCTCAACAACGACTCACCAACATAAGGGGGTAGGAGTATTCGTGCATCAACTCGGAGGCGATGATAGTTTGCAGACGGTCGCCGCCCGATCGGTCTGACCGGAGGAGGCCAGGAGCAGAGCCTCCCTCGACCGCTGTTGGTTTCTGCCCTTGGCTCGCCTGTTCTTGAACCAAACTTGAACCCGGGACTCGGGTAGGCGCAGCTTAATTGCAACCTCCTCGCGCACATACACATCAGGATAGTGTGTTTTCGAGTACAACTCCTCCAGGGTCATCAGTTGATGTCTCGTGAAGGTTGTCCGTTCTCGCCTCTGCTTGCGCGACTGTTTGTCTGTTTAACCAATAGAAATGGCAAAAAACTGTAAAAAATTGCTAATGAAAGCCAGAGAGTTTTGAACTTTTGTTAGCACTGTTTAACCAAAACTGAACAGTTGCAAGTTGGAGATTTGGACCATTACTTTGGCTGAAGGCGACACCTTGACCCACCCCTACCTCCCAAGATTTGCTGTAAACATTTCGAAAATAATTGTCTGGATTTCGGCGCTTTCCTTATTGCAATACTGGTCGATCGCAGTTAAAAATATTGCTGTTCGCTGGGTAATCTGCTGAGAGACCCTAGTTGATATCGTAATTCACTCATAGGAAACATCTCCATCCTAAGGTCACATCCGCATGAAATTGCAACCAACGGCATAAAAACCTAAGTGATCGTTCATCAAAGAGTGTCAATATCTTCCGAACTAAACCGAAAAGACAACTATCTCGTGGCTCAATGGTTAGACGCTGACCGAAACAGTCACCAGTTCGAGCCTTGTGATTGCGTATGACTGGCTGACGACGCCTACTAAGCCAGAAATGCCCATTCGAGTGTCTCCTGTCTTTGCCGACAATACTGCTCCCAGGGGCTATGGTTACCTCACGAATTCAGTCCTTTTATCCTTCTCATTGCTACTGCTCCGTAACATGCTTCACTACATTCTTAATAAGTAGAATTAATACCCACCCATATGAATATACACGCATGCATTTGTGTTAAAGCTTTATAGGTAGTCAGCACTTTACCAAATAATTATAGGGAGAACACCTAGATTGAGCGCCATTTATATAACTGCATAGTGCTGAAGAAGTTATCTGTTAGGCCTCTGGAGTGATCTGTACAGTTCCACATGGAGAATTGACAGTCCGGAGAAATGCTCTCCAAACAAAAAGCATTTGTATGTCCCAACGGATTTACGGATTCCGAGCTCTGTCGTCTACAGAACTATAATAGTAATCCCCGGGAAAGGAATAAGAATGACTTATATGGTTCCCTAAACAGGACATGAAAAGAGCAACCACGCACAATACAGATACCTTTGTGCCAAACTCCATGCAAAACAGGGTTAGGTTCGGGGTTAGGTTTCAGGTTGGCGTTTAGGACACGGACGTATATACCCTTCCTGGAATTATGCGCAGCAACACTTATTGCTTGGGCAAGATGTTCTTATTCGCGTGTCCAATTTTGGCGGCCATATAAGTAATCCTTACCGCAAAACCCCCGCCGACGGATTACTTACGTTAGCAAAATTCTCATCCTTATGAGAACTAGTCAGGCTGCCCTGTTTCCATTCGTAGAGGACATTTCGTAATGGAGAATGAACCAGTGGTCAGCTCCGCCCTGATCATATAGTTCTCTCTGTGTCGCCTTTCCGGCACAGGGATGTCGTGGGACACCGGCAACTCTCGAAACACTCCAGGTATTTGGAGGGGAAGAGACGCGTCAGTCCAAACACTACACAGTGCGTTCACCCGGAACTCCTTCAAGCTTAAAAGGTCGCGTGCCCCCAAGACCCCAGCTAGCAAGAGGTTCTAATCAAATCATGCAGGGAGTACTTATTGACCGTCCTTATCTTGGGTGGAAATCCGGATGCCTACTAAGTTTCCCTAATCTAATTTCATTTACAACGCTTGGCTACACATGTGTTTTCGAGTCCCCCAATGGGCTGCATACTACCTACTTATTTAAAAATGAACAAGCTGAATTTGAATATTTGTGAAATTTCTCTATCTGTACTCCCTTACATGGAACCAATATACTGAGGAGGCAACTATATTTTTGTGTACTTACTATTATCCGCGAACGCAGGATGCGACAATGTAGTATAACTCACTAAAAGACGCGAAAATGATGTTAACTTTTATTTTGACACCACTCGACAGGGCTGTGTCCGAACCCGAACGTTCTGATGAGCATAGTAAGGCCCTTTCGATCAGGTTTTGAAGCTGAGACTCGTTAATAGTTGCGAGTTAAACCAGTGTTTGAGGTCTCATATAATTAATCATGATATTCAGGCCGTTATTTACTCCTTGTAGTTTAATCGTGACTGAATCAATCCCTTCAGTGCTGAAGGCCCAGTGTATCGCTAATGATCGGGTTCATTTGTATATTGATCCTAGATCAGATCGCAGAGCAGAACTGAACTAGTAGAGGATCCGGAGCCCTAAAACGAATGTCACCCGTCCAGCTCTACCTTGGGGCTCATTGCCGAGCCTCATCAGCAGTCTAGACCGGTAGCATTGCCGACAAAGGCAAGGGAGACCGGCATAGCCGTTTCTGGCCCATTAGCAGTCATCAGCCACCCATACCCAACTCCAAATGGTGCCCCACCCGAGGCTCGAACCCACGACCTTTTTATCAGAATTCTTACGCTCTAAAGACAGGCTCGTTGGCTTGTCGGTTTAGATCGCGAGATATTAATACTCGTTGGTGGACATCCATCGATCGCAAACGGAACTCCTTCTGCCAGATCTGTCCACTAATCCTACATATACCTCGTCGATCGGAACGTCACAGATTCCTCCGGCCAGAAAAGGGGTCTTCTACCCTTTGGGTAAGATTAGTTTTAAGCCCAAATATGCTGCCTTCGTATCTATCAAGATCTCAGCATTCACAGTTTTTCGCAGAATTTCTTTTGCATGGAAACGTCACCAGCCTGGTCGAAATCTACAAAGCACATAGCACAACCTGTTAATGTGGTATAGCATATCGCATCTTATAATTATATGTATCATTCAGTTTAGAAGTTGTCTAGAAGATATATCAAGAAGAGAACGCTCTTCGTCATTAATATAAACATGAAGCAATTTGAAGTATACAACTGGACATCTGCATATATTACTGCATGCGAAAAGCATCCACTACATCAATGGTAAGCAACAGACTTCGGCATGGGCCCTGCGTTGCCCTTCACCAGCAAGTGATATACTGTTGTAGAGTAGGTTTGAGTTCAAAAATTATCGCCTGGTATTTTTTTAAAACATCATTCGACCCATTTCTCGCAATTCGGGATGCAGCATAGTTTCATCATCTGCAATAACTCCTATTCGTCTGGAGTTTTCTTTGCCGACTGAGTGGGCTAATTTCGGTGTAAGATTGAACATATGGTAGCTTAGCGATAAACGCAGTATGCGGAGCGCTTATGGTTATAAAAAAACCAGTACCTCTCTCTAAAACTGAGCCCGACCTACCCTTAGTCAATTGATGAACGTTCACCGACCGCTAACGGAATCCACTTGTCCAGCTCTGCCTTGGGCCTCATTTCTCGGGTCCTGACAGCAGCCGTAGCAGTTAGTGGACTTTATATTTGGGGCGAAACAACTGTTTCGGGAGTGGAATTGGGAACAGTAGGCACTGAGCTAATACAGATTTTAATTTAGCATGATCTGCCGTATGGCACGTCTACAAGTCAGGCACCAAGGTTCCTTTGTTGCTAATCTTGGGGCAATTATGAGATTTCATTATAACATGCTCGGTTAACGGTTGCTGTTCGCACCTGACAGCAGCTTGTTCTCACTTCAGGTCCTAGCAACTAAGGCCACTTTACCGGCGGAGGGCAGGGGGGGCGTAGGACAACCAAGCAACAAGCGGAAGTTCCGTAGAGCATTGAGAGAGTTGCGCACGGCAGTTGCAGTTAAATCAAGTTTGGAAACTCGGCTAACGCCCATGGCAACAAGCCCTTTTCTTGCCTAGCCCTGGCGACTTTTCTAATGCTATCAGGTTGGTGTGGTGGAACGTGCTTTTTGTTTCGCACAAGGAAAGATCACTTTTCACCCAAACATACCGATTTAAAATTAACTTATTATTAAAAGACTGAATAAAATAGTGCTTTATCAGAGTCCCGAAGGGGACGCACGTATCCGGCGGAACAGCCTGTTGGTTGATGGATTATAAGGCGTAGAACAGAGACAATAGCATTGACGGCTGTCAATAGGTTGTCTAACATTACTAGCCGCTACAGCTGGCGTCATGACTCGAGAAATGAGATTCACGGCAGAGAGGGAAAAGTGAGTTCCGTCAGGAGTTTGTGAACGTTAATCAGCGACTGTCAAGATCTGCCGACCTAAACCGGCAAGACAACGAGCTCGTAGCTCAATGGTTAGAGCGTTCGGCTCTGATCAAAAAGTTCGCGAGTTCAAAGCTCTGGTGGTGCACCACTTGGGTGAGGACGACTTATAAGCCAGAATGGTCATTCCAGTCTCCCGCTTGTCTTTGCCGACAATACTATCTGCTTAGAATACTGATAACTACGGCTGATGTCAGGGTCAGAGAAATTAGGCCCAAGTCAGAGCCGACCGAATAAGCAAAAGTTTATCCTCCGCGTTGTCGATTGGTGAAATAACCACGCTACAATCTAAGTTATAATACGGCAAATTTTGAGACGAAGGGGCCCTGCTCGAGGCGTACCAGGCAAGCAGGAAAAGGATCCATATTTTAATGAACCTCGCAGTCAATCCTCCTCCATTTTATTTCGAGATAATTGCACCAGACGCTGAATCAATCCCAATTAATCTATTTCATTAAAAAACTAGCTAACAGGAGTTAATTTTAAGTAAAGGCAACAAGTACAGTGTTTACTCACCACTCGGATTGGGCGAATAAAAGCCGAATTCCACTCCTGATTCTGGCTTGACTGTCACAGACGCAGAGCCAGCGGATACTGTGGCGGCGGACCTGGGATTTGGAGGTCCACCGTGGCCCATTCTTAGGTCTCCCTGTTGCTCCTGGTGATGTTGCTGCTGCTGAGGGGGCTCGATGCGCCCCCTGCGCAGATGTGTCTCATAG